ATAAAACTTTAATAAAAATATTGCAACAGAAAAGCTATCTATTCCCTCCCTAAATGTAGTTTTTAAATCTAACTAGTGCAAGTACCCTAAAGGTAACTGTGTATTAGCTTCTTGAAATCCGCCACACAGCAGCACTTAGACCAGGGGTAGCAAACCTCTGGCCGTACAGCTGTGGGGAAACTACAAATCCCATGATGCATCTCTTCGGGAGTCATGTCTGTGGCTGTGACACCACGGAATTCCTTAACTGCAAGTGATGGAATACACCTGGCTCTGATGTGTGGCAGACCAGTATAAAACTCAGAAAAGGATAGACAGAAACACAAATTAACAAGTATTTCATCTATGCAGCCATTTGCCTGGAGTTCAGATTCAATGTATGCAGACATATCTAGGTGCCTGCAGGCATCTGCAAATTACTTCCAGAGCTCCCAGGTTTCCCAAACATTAGGGAGCTCCTATATGTAGACATCAGTGAGAACTGGAATGGTCTCATCCTGGACAAACTCTTCTATCCCAACACCATTCCTAGAGGACACCCAATGCAATGAGTGACCTTGAGGGCTTGATCACACCATTTTCTGGTCCAGATCTGGAGCAGATCTGCAGACGCGGTGCTATGCATGCAGTGCGTTTGACACGTTTTTACCACGTTCCAGTAAAAAAAAAAAAAAGCGAGCCGCACGCAGGCCACACTAATCTATCCCATGATGCATCTCTCTTTGCGAGTCATGTCTGTGGCTGTGAGAATCTTGCAATGCCTCGTGGGATTTGTAGTTCCACCACAGCTGGAGGGCCGGAGGTTTGAGACCCCTGATCTAACACTACCCTCCCCACAGGGTGCTGTCCAAGGTTAGGATCATTGCTCCTCCGTAGAGTGGAGCCACCCTAGGATAGGAAGTGTGTTACTGGCCGGATCAGCAGGGGAAAAAGGAAAAAATATGCCTAAAAAAAGAAAACGAATGCAGCCACCACGATGCAGGACTAGTAAGCTGCAATAGATTACATTTTTGGTTTTGCATTGAAACGCACTAAGTTTAAATTTTAGGAAAATAAAAATTATATTATATCCATCTATCTCAAAACCAGTTCTACTCGCTTTTTAACAAAAAGAAAAAAAAAAGGAGGACTCTTCTGTTTAATTTATAGGCCTTTCATAACTATATACCCCACCAAGAAGTAGGACGTAAATGTAAAAATCGGGAGTCCCACAAAGAAGCTTTTCGGCAGCTAACTAGAACAAGCTGCCAGCTCTGACAACACACACACCAAACTTGTGCTATACAACAGATACAAGGAAGCAGCGAGTGGAAAAAAGTTAGATAATGCAATGTCACACTGGGCAACAAAACAAAAAACAAGGTGTTGCGTGTTTTAAAAGCTACTGGATCACATTTATTAGGACATTCATGCAAAACTCCCGGCATTTCTTTTTTTACTGCCTCCCCTCAGGCCCCTCTTCTCTGCCACCATTTTTTTTTTTAAATCCTTCAACACATACCCTTTTTTCCTGCAGTCTTCTGACAGGTCTGCTGACATCACAGGTCATTCTTCTTCCTCATCCAGCAGCAATGGCTGGTCTTTACTTCTGGATAGCAGTAGTGTAATGATGTGCGATTTTTGTACTGTCCAGGAGCATACTGTGAGCTTGGTATCGTGCCATGTGCTGGGGTAAAGTGCATTGAGGCTCAAGTGAATGTCAACAGAAAGCACCCGCCACACTAACTCACGACAGGTGTGTTGAGTGATCGTGTGCGTTAATCGCATGGTACCATGCTCCCCCCTTTGCGTGTGTGTGGGGGCCACAAGGGGTCTGCGACCTGCTGCCTCTCCCATCATAGGATTGTTCCGTAGCGTGGACCGCGCGGCTGCCGAAATCCGGAAGTGGTGCCGCTGGCAGATGCCACTGAACAGGTAAGTTCAGCTTTAAAGTCAAAACAACGGGGAAGAGGTATCGCAGTAGGGGGGACGCCACTGAGTCCACTAGAGGCAGAGCCAGCTGTACCCACCCCCTCCCCCGTACGTTCTGCCAGTCAGCGCTGGAGGATCGGACAGGGGGGGGGGGGGGTCAATAAGCGCTGGAGGATCGGACAGGGGAGGGGGGGAATCCCTGCAGGGAGCAGTGAGTGACAGTCGCAGCTCTCTGCAGGGACAGGATCGAGAAGTGAGTGAGCGACGGTATGTGTTCGCTCACTTCCCGATTCATTGTCACATCTCGGCTGGAACTACGAGGCCGAGTGATTTTCACTCTCCTCATAGTTCTCATTTAAGGAAGCCAGGCGGAGTGTAAAGACTCACTACCTAGCTTCCTGATTATTCAGGAAGCTGTCTCTATGCTCCCTAGTCACCAGGTGACGAGGAAGCATGGAGCTGGCTTTCTGGCCAATCAGGAAGCTAAGGGCCGTGTAATGTCTTGCCACCTGGCTTCCTGATTGGGCAGCCGATACTCACCGATACCAAAAGTCCCATTAGGGAAGCCGGGCGATGTGTAATGACTCACCTCCCGGCTTCCCGATTAGCCGGGAAGTCGTCTCCATGCTCCTTTGTCACCAGGTGACAAGTATGGTGCTGGCTTTCTGGCCAATCAGGAAGCCAGGGGGGCGTGTAATGACTTGCTGCCTGGCTTGTTGATTGGTCGGGAGTCATTACACGTCACGCGGCTTCCTGATGGAGCATGGAGCCGGCTTCCCGGCCAATCAGGGAACTTGCAGAGAGTGGTGACTCTCAGTCACATCCCCCCGCAGGGATTCCCCACTCCCACCTCCAGTGCTCATTGGATTGGAGGGACATGGGAAGGGGCGGGCACACCTTGTTCTGGCTCTAGAGAGGCAGACCCAGCTGTCAATCGGGTAGCAGGATGGATCCAGACAATACTGTTGGGATCTTTCCTGGAAGCAGCATGGCTCTGCGCTCTCAGCATATAGCTGGCAGTAGCTCATTTTATAGGGAGTTTCGGTCACAGGAGGACATTAGTAAATGTTCTCCTGTGACCCAAAAAGAGTACTAAAGCCAAAAATTTAAACCAACCTCGCCATCTGCATTTGAATAAACGCAAGTGTAGGGCATTGCAAGTGCTTCCCCCATTCCACTGTGTGCCATAGTGTGGTAGACGGATCACAATGTGCATTAAAGAGTAAATTTCACTTTCCAAAGTAATTTAGGGAAAGATGGGATTACCTGCTCATATCTGACCCCTTCCCCCCCCCCTGCGCTATACTTACCTTTCTGCAGCGGTCCTTCCGCTCCGCCTGTACTATCTGTACCCCATACTGCCACCCAGTGCAGCCCCGTGCCATGGATTTCAAATTCCGCTCAAATTACGAGCACTCATTGGTCAGCACAGTCACCTGATCGCACTGACCAATGAGAAGCGCTTCTTAGCATGGTTAAAATTATTTTTTGTTTTAGGACAAGTAGATTGGGCCCCTGCTTTAGTCCTTTGATAGGTAGTTTGTTTTTTTGTTTTATTTCCACACCCCTGTAGGTACTAATCACATTGATGCCATAGGTTTCAACAATCCACTAGAACAGCATGTAAGTGTAAATTTTAGGGCTGCAAAAACGAAACGATCATCGAATCGATGAGGATTGTCAACGTTGTCTCGTTGATTTGTTGAGCAGAGTGCTGCAGCTGGCGCCCAGCGGGGAGTAGAGACTGCTGTGCCTCTGCATTTCCCCGATGCTGCCGGTGGTAGAAAGCAAGCATCAAGTCTCCCATCCAGCGGCTGGGAACAATAACCAGCCTACTATTGGCTATTTTAAAAAAGGAAAACTATGGGGTCAGTGCTTTTCCCCATAGTTCTCCCCAGGGTCACGGGAGGACACAAACGAGCGTCCTCCCTTGGCCCAAAACTCAGTATACCGCAAGCTACAGCTTGCGGTACCCTGAGACCACCGCAGCCGGGACGGATCCCGACATTACTGACTGCATCCACCCAGCTGCGTGATTGACAGCTACCTATCTAGAGACAGAGCCAGCTGTACCTGCCCCCTCCCCCGTCCGTTCCGCCAGTCAGCGCTGGAGGAGCGGGAATCCCTGCATGGAGCCGTGAGTGACAGTCACAGCTCTCTGCAGTGACAGGATCGAGAAGTGAGTGAGCGACAGTATGTGTTCGCTCACTTCCCGTTCTATTGAGCCGATGTGTGACAGTTTAATTGTCAAACGTCGGCTCGAACTATGAGGTTGAGTAAAAAAAATATTCATGGCTAGCTTTTTTTTTTTTTTATGTTCATGCAATAATAAATATCTGGTGATCCTGCCAACCCGCACACTTCCTCTGCAGGGTGACAACAGTCAATCCTTCCCCATCATACCAGTGAACACAGGACAAAAATCTGCAAGAGGGCACTGTGCAGAGGAAGGGTCACAGGGTACCCATTTGGATGCCTCCTCCCAGCATCGACAATGTAAAGATCTCCACATCTACTTCTGAGGTATCACAGAGAAAAAGGTTAGAGGATTTGTTCCCTTATGGAGAAAGCAGGTGAATACTAAGGATGGCATCAATAGGACAAATAGAAAGAGCCTATAAAATGGAGCTCCAGGCAAACCACTGAACACCTCTATGTAGACTGACAGCTGATCTTATCTCCACATTCGTACCATGAAGATGACTCTGGCCAGAGGGGATAGCACACGTTCACTGCCAGTGAGAGGTGACACAGGAGGAAATAAATGTGTGACCTGGCCAGACTGGGTACACATAACAAGAGCTGAACAGAATGACACTTCCTTTGGCAAGCAGAACAGTAAACTTAGAATACAACAAAGCCATTAGACTGCCGGGCGTCCAGCACAGAATGGCCAGCACTCTCTGAGAAGTTCTGTCCACCTATAGGACCATACACAGCGCCTGCAGAGCACATACTGGATCTGTAGCGGCCTCATCTTACTTTTGGAGGAAAGAGAATTTCCGGTGACACTAGCCCTCCACGGTTCCAGTGCCATCACTCGGATTTCCCACCTCCCGGGACATAGGCCACATATCACCGGGCCTTACCTGTCTGCCTCCCGCCGGGAGATCCTCTTCTTTTCCTTCTCCTCCGGCCTTTACTTCCGCCTTTCCTGTCTCACTTCCGGGTACACCCCACTTTCAGCTGCGTTGATTAGCAAGCGTCACAAAATGACAGCATCGGCAACCAATCACCTCGCAGATCCTGTCTGGATTCCGGAAAGACGCAAAAGAGCCGTAGAATGCGGAAATAAGGCGGCAGAGGGTGATGGGAATTGTAGTCTATGGTTAGGGAAGCTCTATTGATTGAGTTTCGGTTCGTTTGATCTTAAGATTCTACGGCTCTGTGTGCCCACCGTATGTCTTGTGTGGAGGGGACTGTGTGCCTATTGTGGGTCCCCTCTCGTTTGGCGCTCTCTCTGTCCTGTTCCTTCTTCCACCCCATCCCTTTAAACCTGGCTATACAATATACAGTGTGATTGTACAATTTCTTTCACACTTACTGAAACTTTAATAATAGGAAAATCCAAAATAGTTCATCTCATTTGAATAAATCAGGCAGGTTGTTACAGTTGATGGTAGAGCTAAAGGAGATCGTAAAATCAGACTGGGTATGTGGGTCACCTTAAAGCAGGGGTGGGCTTGGCCCTCCAGCTGTGATGACACTACAAATCCCATGATACATCTGTCCCTGGGAGTCATGCCTGTGGCTGTGATAATCTTGTAATGTGCCATGGGAGTTGTAGTTCCACAACTGCTGCAGTTTGCCCACTTGTGCCTTTAAAGTAATACTCTAGCCAAAGCACTTTTCCAGTTTCAGGTGTAGTCGATCCTCTGGCATGTTTTTACAAAGTGTGATTCAAGTTCGCCCAAGCCTGCACAAAACTGTCACTGATACCACCACAACACCCCCCCCCCGCATACGGGGCCAATCAGCTGCAGCCAGTGCATTTCTTGCCACACAGTTACATGTCACAAAGGAGTGGGGAGTGCCTATCACAACTGATTGGGGGATGTCAGTGACAGTTTTGGGAAAACTCGGGTGAACTTGGTTCACACCAACCCCCGTACATCACCACTGGTGACTAGGGACGCACTGATACCGCTACCAGTATTGGTATCGGGGCTAGGGTTGCCACCCGTCCGAGTTTCACCCGAACAGTCCAGTTTTGAAGTCTTGTGTCCGGGTGGCCAGCCAGCGGCTTACATTTTCTGACAGATGTGGCTGCCGGGGGTCTCGGGCAGCCGCTTCGGTCTGAAACCAGCTCTTCCTCTGAGGTGCAGGCAGTCTGTTCCTGTTTACAGGTTCCCTGCAGCTCAGAGGAAGATCCGGGTTTCAGGCAGATGTGGCCGCCCGAGACCGTGCTTGTCGAAGACCTTGGCAGCCGCATCTGTGATTGCTCCTCTGCCCACCTGCGGACCCCTGGTGAGACACCATAGCCCAGACAGCCCTGAGAGTCACAGCCCACCAGAGAGCCCGCACAGCCCACCTTAGAGTCCGCACAGCAACCAGAGACCCCAAACAGCCCATGTAGCTTCATATTATTTTGTATTGCTGTGTAATGTATTGTTGGGATTTGTCGTCCTTTATAGCTGGTCTCCTTACTCCCTCTCCTGCTTGCCTCTCCTTGCTCTCTCCTCTATATTCTCAGGAAAAATAATTGCCGCACGCAGCGCTAGAGTGTTCGGGTTTCACTTGAGGAAAAGGTGGCAACCCTAATTTCTTCAGTATACATACCACAACGCTGCAGAGTTGTCAGCACCCTGGGATCTCCTGTGTTGGCTTGCCACTCTAGGGGGCGTGGCTATCATCCATGTGACTTCATCCCGGCAGCATCCCCTTAGTGGGCGAGGCCAGCCGTCCATTGCTGCTGTATTGGAATCCTGGCCTCCGCCCTCCAGGGAGTCTCTGCAGGCTGACGCTGCGCTGCTGCTGCCGATTTGCCACCCGACTCTTCCTCTGAGCTGCGGGCACCTGTTGGGGGCTGGGGGAATGCTTGTAATATTCTGCTTTGCTGACTTTAAGTATAATGTATTGCTGGGACTTGTAGTCCCGCATGGCTTGTGGTATTCTGCATTGGTGTATGCTGATTATACAGCAATGCAGAATAGCACCAACTATGTAGGACTACAAGTCCCAGCAATACATTATAGTCGGGGGGATGCTGGTGGTATTCTGTATAGCTGACTTATTATAATGTATTGCTGGGACTTGTAGTCCCGCATAGCTGTTGGTATTCTGCATTGATGTATGATGATTATACAGCAATGCAGAATAGCCAGGCCCGGATTTCCCATAAGGCCACCGAGGGTGGCAGCGGTGTCCCTGTGGTGAATTATCGGGCGCCGGCCGGTAAGTTGCCTTCTCTACATCTAGTTCTGCTTTGTACAAGCAGGACTAAATGTAGAGTGAGGCAGCCGATTGTTTGTTTACATGTGAACTCCGCGATGTCGCCGAGATGACATGTAAAAAGTCTGCAGCCGACCGTTCTCCTGCAGGAACAATAGGAAGTGAGAGCAAATGGGCGCGGTTTAAGGGTAGGGTTGCCACCAGTCTGGTTTTGGAGTCTTGTGTCCGGGTGTCCAGCCAGTGGGCACCCGGACACAAGACATTCAGTGCCGACACCGGCATTTAAAATTTTCTGACAGATGCGTCTGTGGAGGTCCTCGGGAATGCGATCTCGGGCAGCTGCATCTGCCTAAACCCGGATCTTTCTCTGAGCTGCCGGCAGCCTGTGTCTGTTTACCGGTGCCCGCAGCTCAGAGGAAGGGCCGGGTTTTAGGCAGATTCGGCTGCCTAAGATCGTGCTTGCCGAGGACCTCCACAGACGCATCTGTCATTGCCTTCTCTTCCTCCAGCTCCCTGACATCGTGCTGCCCACCTGCGGACCCTGGTGAGACACCATAGCCCATACAGCCCACATGAGTGCCCGCACAGCCCACCAGGCCACGTGGAGACATCAGTGCGCCAACACAGAGTATGTAGCTTCATATTATTTTATATTGCTGTATAATGTATTGCTGGGATTTGTAGTCCTCTCTAGCTGGTCTCCTCACTCCCTCCCCTGACTGCCTCTCCTCTATAGTCTAAAAAATAATAATTGCCGCGTGTGGCGCTAGAGTGTTCGGGTTTCACTTGAAGAAAAGGTGGCAACCCTATTTGCCTCTCCCTCACTTTTCTCCTCTTCAATCACTGGCACCCTACCTACCGATACCCCACACACTGACGGAGCATTTTAATGGACAGCTATTGTGAATGGGCCCTAAGGCCCCATTCACACTGAGCGATTCGCAAATCGCGCATTGGTCGCACGATTTGCCTTTTGCGCGATATCGCGCGTTTGTTGCGCGATATCGCGCGTTTGTTGCGCGATATCGCGCAAATGCTTGCATTGAGCAAGCTAGAATCGCAGCAAAATCCGCTCCAAAAAGGGTCCTGCTGTAGCGACGCACGACAGCAACAGACAGAGCCCCATTGCCATGCATTGGAGAGTGATATCGCGTGGTAAATAGTCGCGATATCGCGGGAATTACTGCGCGATAAATCGCTCAGTGTGAACGGGGCTTAAGAGTGGCTCCTCCTTCCTGCTTATAGATTCAGGATACTAGACATAAAACTTTTTTTTTCACTTTTTTCAATAAACGAAATATTAGTTTTAAAATGCTTTATAAGGTGTTACAGTTGGCTTGTATGACTGTGTGTTCACAAATACTTTAAGCTCTATCTGTCTCAAGAAAATCAATGTCAGGGTGACCTATAAAAGCTAAAAGGTGCAGAACAGAGACATCTCTGAAATAAAAAAGATTGTTCTCGGACTCAAGGACATATAGGAAGAAAAAGGATCCGGGACTAACGTGGTTACTGATTGATTACACTCCAAGTGACTTGGGCCCTCTCTTTTATTCATCCCTTGACTTGTGCTTTCCAATCACCTTCTCACAGAGTTGCATGATATACATTATGGCACAATACTGACCCTTAAAAAATTCCTTCCACTTTCCAGATACATTGTTTATACTACAATCAGTTGAATCCCATTGACTACACACAAGTGATCACGATTTAACGAATTGTGTGACTTTTGAAAAATAATTGGTTCCATCTGTGATTATTTAGATGCTTCAATAAAGGGGGATTATATTTATGCAATACAGTGTTTTAGCTTTCATCTGATTTGTTTTTACTTTTACAAGAAGCGTTTATTTTTGTTCCTCATTGAAAACCATTCAATGAAATTAAAGCCCAACTCCAGGCACAAAAACGTACTGCAGTTCAGTGGGTTGTAGAGGCCCTTTGCCGCAAACTGGCTTGCTATAATTAGATCTTTCTCCTTCTCCCCCCAATCTTCAGTATACCTGTGCGTGGAGGTCCACTGAAGATTTGAGGGGAGATTGAGGAAGAATGGCCAGTTTCCAGCAAAGGGCTTCTACAAACCAATGAAATTTAGTACGTTTATTGTATTTAGGCCTCATGCACACACAACGCAAGAGCAAAATTGTATATTGCGTATATGTGCGTATGTACGCGCGTATATGCGTGCACTATATGCACTCCCATAATGCATAATTTGTAATTGAAATATTAATGAACAGTACGTGCATATGTTCACACACATGTGTATATGCGCGTACGCGTGTAAAATACACAGAAATACGTTGCCCGGATTCATCTCGGGTCCATTCTCTTTTTGCGCATGTTTACTCAATGCATATATACGGCTCCATACGCAGCTATGTGTATGGAGCCATTTATTTGCATATGCTGCATATGGGACAATACGTGCGTACGCACATATACGCAGCATATTGTACGGCAATGTGAATGAGGCCTTAGCGTTGGGCTTTAGAGTGTATATAAACCCTAACAATGAACTTCTCTCCAAGTTTTAGTCTAGTAAATATACCATTGAAATTGTGTTGTTATATCTGTTCAATAAGTGAAGAAGAAAAAACTGTTGATACTGCCAGAAATCTAGTACTGTTGTGTGTATTCTCTCGTGTTTTCTCTTGCAGTATTATCATCTCTGCTCAGTTCCGCTCAGAACACTCCCCTAATGTTATGAAGATGAGGAGAATTGGAGGTGTTCTGTAGTCCTAATACATGTTCTGTCAA